AGCTAAGATATCAGGCTTGCGGTTGACAGAATGTGAAAACTCGTTCAATGAAGACAAATGCTTTAGAAGACTTCTGATATTACAATGAAACATAGAGAGACACTTTGAAGTGGTATTATCTAAGAGTTGATTCAGCTGAGTTAGGAAATAATAATTGGAACGTGGACAATTAAGGATGTTATCAGAATCAATGTCATACCACCAGTTACCAATCACTGCTAATTTTTTTTTTAATTTTATTTTAGACTAGAGAGCAGCACACAGCAGCAGATCTTTATTTTCAGGCGCAGCTTCATCCTGCCTTATTCCTTGGAGTTAAGAGCTTGTATAATAGTTATAATGAGAGATTAAATTCAACCCTGATAAAAATCACTCCAAATTATTTACGTATCCCCAGCCTCGCGACTAACTCAAGCCTTTAGTTCAGTTTCATTTCTATTTTATCACCTACAAGTATGGACTGAAGATTTCTTATCTTATTTTCCGATCAAGTATCACAATATTTAGTCATATATGACTTTTGCGGTTTTTGGAAACCTAGCATTATTTTCTTTCATTCATGTTGTATTATGTGTTTGTTGTTCGACAAATGAATGCCACTAAAGGTTGAAACCGCTGGAAAGTAGTGATAAAACGTGCTGATAAACGTTTAGGACAAGATGAAAATATTCAAATCATTTATTTCAGAATTTAGTCAACTATGATGTGGATTGTGTAGCTTACGGTTTGCAGCAAATAAATAAATCCATAAACAAAATGAAATAAAAAAAGAGAACAAGGATGTCAATTGAACCAAAAAGATTTATTTAACGCTTTTAAAGCTACAATTTCATCTATGAATTTAAAGCAACTTTCTTAATCTTGCGTGAGTCTTGGTCCAGTCTAATCATTCCCGCCAAACCTGAAATAGAGAAAACAAAGTGAGAAAGAGTCCTTTATAAAGTTACTTAAGTGAGTAATGAGGCCAGTTAGGACAAGCGTACTTATCTATGGCACGTCAGAAGTAGTAGAGAGAACTCAACAAGGACGAGTACATGCATTTCTTGTTTAAAAGATGCCCTCAATTTTCTAC